TAATTGAGACAGGGACTGATAGCACCAACCTAAATGACTGACAGCAACAGTGAAGAACTGATAACCCACCTTAATGAATAGACAGTACTGTACTAAAGGACTGATAGTCCCGCCCTAAAGGATTGATAACCCCTTCCTTAAAAATTGATAACCCCACCCTAAAAACCAAATAGCTTCAAACTAAATGCCTTTTAACCCTGCCCTTAAGGGATGAGACCCCACCCTCAAGAATTGTTAACCCCCCCCCCCCAAAAGACTGATAGCCCCACACAAAAGGATTGAAAACCCTGCCCTAAAGGACTGATAACCTTGCGCCAACGGACTGATAGACCCACCCTAAGGAACTGATAGCTCTTCCCTAAAGGACTAATAGCCCCGCCCTAAGGAACTGATAGCTCCTTCCTAAAGGGCCGATAGCCCTGCCCTAGAGAACTGATAGCTACTCCCTAAAGGACTGATAACTCCTTCCTAAATGACTGATAACCCCACTCTAAAAGACAATAACCCTGCCCTAAACGACTGATAACCCCGCCCAAAAAGACTAATCACCTCAAACTGAAGGATGGATAGCTCCACCCTTAAGGACTGAGACCCTGCCCTAAATTCTTGATTACCTCACCCAAAAAGACTGATAGCTCCACCCTAAAGGATTGACAGCTCCTCTTTAAAGGACTGATAATCCTGCCCTAAATGACTGATACCCCCCCCCCCCCCCAAAAGGACTAATCGCCTCAAACTAATGGAATGATAGCTCCACCCTAAAGGACTGATAGCAACGCCCTAAAGGACTGATAGCTCCACCCTAAAAGACTGATAGCTACGTCCTAAGGATTGATAGCTCCTCCTTAAAGGACTGATAATCCTGCCCTAAATGACTGATAACCCCCCCCCCAAAAGGACTAATCGCCTCAAACTAATGGATTGATAGCTCCACCCTAAAGGACTGATAGCAACGCCCTAAAGGACTGATAGCTACGCCCTTAAGGACTGATAGCTCCACCCTAAAAGACTGATAGCTACGTCCTAAGGATTGATAGCTCCTCCTTAAAGGACTGATAATCCCGCCCAAAAGGAGTAATTGCCTCAAACTAAAGGATTGATAGCTCCACCCTAAAGGACTAATAACCCTGCCCTATGACTAAAACCCCGCCCAAAGGGACTAATCGCCTCAAACTAATGGATTGATGGCTGCACCCTAAAGGACTGATAGCTCCTCCCTAAAGGACTGATAACTCCTCCCTAAAGGACTGACAACTCCTCCCTAAAGAACTGATAGCTCCTCCCTAAAGAACTGTTAACTCCTCCCTAAAGAACTGATAGCTTCTCCTTAAAGAACTGATAGCTCCTCCCTAAAGAACTGTTAGCTCCCCCCTAAAGGACTGATAGCTCCTCCCTAAAGAACTGATAGCTCCTTCCTAAAGAACTGTTAGCTCCCCCCTAAAGGACTGATAGCTCCTCCCTAAATGACTGATAACTCCTCCCTAAAGAACTGATAACTCCTCCCTAAAGGACTGATAGCTCCTCCTTAAAGGACTGATAGCTCCTCCCTAAAGGACTGATAACTCCTCCCTAAAGGACTGATAACTCCTCCCTAAAAAACTGATAACTCCTCCCTAAAGGACTGATAGCTCCTCCTTAAAGGACTGATAGCTCCTCCCTAAAGGACTGATAACTCCTCCCTAAAGGACTGATAGCTCCTCCTTAAAGGACTGATAACTCCTCCCTAAAGGACTGATAACTCCTCCCTAAAGGACTGATAGCTCCTCCTTAAAGGACTGATAACTCCTCCCTAAAGGACTGATAACTCCTCCCTAAAGGACTGATAGCTCCTCCCTAAAGGACTGATAGCTCCTCCCTAAAGACATTGATTTGACAGGAAGTGAAGTAAAGTTGTTTCGATGGAGGATGGAAGGTAGTGTTTAAGGAATCTGAGGGCAAGTTAATATTTACAAAATAACGAAGTTCACAGATACATTTCTCATAAACAAGCAGTACTTTATACATATTAAAATGAGAAAAGTACATTTTGATTTCCTGATGAATTCAAGGACTAACCTGTACAGACAGCTGACCTCAAGCCTATACTAGCAAGCACTGTGTTCTGCTATATAACCTGCTTCGCTAAACATGTTCATTCATATGGTACACGCATCCTAAGAGACTTACAAATGAGAGTACGCAGACTGAGCCGAGCCGTGATGCCAAGTCAGGAGAGATGTGTCAGATGAAAGACCGCAACATTTCTAATTAGCTTCAGCTCTTCACAGTCCCATCACAAATAATGCATGTTCATCACGCCGGTTAGTCACAACACTCATCAAATGACTTATTCCGCAAGTAAATATCGTAGTGTAGATCAGATCCAATGACAGACAATTGATAGTGTTCAATGTGGAAACCAGGAAGATCAGTTTAGATAAAACACAACCATTCCTTCTGACTGACTGTATATGGATCGATATCTTGTTTGTTGGACACCAGGAAATAAAGCAATGTTTTGGTTTCCGCTCTACATTTGTGGATACAGTAGTAATGCATCCATTACTGAACGGGTCATGCACTATAAATGCACTTTTAAGTGTATCTCTGAGCTATGAAAAACAACAGCATGCTTTAAAACAGCCAAACATGACCCTGTTCTTCTGTAGTTGCATAAAAAAAGTGCAAAGACATTGAAAATTTTAGCTTTACAACGTAAATACAAAAGGACGTACAATCAAAGACTATAGAATACACAAGACGTTTCACTCATATAGTTTTGAATAGGGGAAAGTGTAACGGTCAATATGGCGAATGAAGCCCCGCCTTCAAGTACAGGAGCCAATCAGTGATCGCTATAGACTGAAGAATCACCGGGGCTTGGTGACCAGCCAGACGTGAGTTTCTGAGGATATTGTGTGATTTGAACGTTTAGAAATGAAACTAAAGAGACAGTTGTTGTTTAATTTTATTGGTGATTGCAAATATGAAATGTAATCGTAAGCTTGGCAAGCAATTTTGGAGAATTTGATGTTACCCCATTCAAACAGAACACCGCCAAGTGAATTGACTTGCCTTAAAGGGACTTTGGTACAATGCATGGTCAAAAGGAGAGGCTAAATGAAGGCCTGTTTGCACTAACAAAATTAAATATGTTAAAAGAAAAATGTAATGTAGCAATCCACAGCATGATTATAACAATAAAAGCACAAATCAAATATACTGATACAGTAGTTCTCCTGCTGACGAATGATAAAAATATTGACAACCAATCAGAATTTTACTTTAAATTACTTCAAATTTAAGTAACAGATGCTACATTTAATTTCAGCATTATAGTCTGTCGGTTTGGACGATAATATTGTTATTTACTATTGCGATAATATTGGTATTTGTTATTTAATATATATACTCTGTATATAATCTTCTACATCCAAACAGGACCCAGAATGAATATGAATATTAATTTTAGATGTAAGTACAACACAATTTTGATTCTGTGTTTATTTTTAAGTGAGCATCCGACAGCTTTATACAGCTTTATAGACAGCTTTTATGCTAAAGTCAATCCAAAATCGACCTTAGCTTCTTCTTCTTCTTCTCTACACTTCACTCTCAGGTTCAGTGGCTAAACTAAAACCTGGAAGCACAGCAGAAAATCCTCTTCTTTCAATCACAAAAAGACACACTGCTGTTTTCCAGGCCCTCACTGCTGTGTTCATTAAGAAAGCTGCTCAATCTTAAATGAAATACACGGACAAAATGTCCTGGCGGAGCATTTGCTGACCTCTATTATTAAAAAGAAGCACTTTCTTCAGTCGCCACTGTGAGTATTTTAAACACACATAGCAGCTGCTGTAAGAGTTTGTTTGCATTATCAAATAGATTATAGGGCGATAACAAGAGCAAACAGGCCTGAAGTATGGTCTGAGAATCAACAGCATGATGCCTCGTGCTGGAAATAAAAACAGATGCATTTGATTTGATGATCTCCCTCGCTACTGTAATTTGCACGTACACGTCTGCTCATCTCAGCATTGCACTATTCCTGACATATCCTGATAATTGAAATGCATTTTAATGGGGTTATCAATTTAAAAATGTGATGCTTAAGTCTTATATTTTCTTTGATAAACCATACAGGTGCATTCTGCATATTATCACTCATCATGACGGGTTTTAATTATCTAAATATACCAAAAAGCTCACTTATTTGGGGGTTACCTAACAAAATAAAGCAAAGCATCATCAAATATGGCACTATTATTATAATTATCAAGTGCACTACAGACAGGCTGCACCTCATCCTGCTAATCCAATCAAACTTGAGTGATGATCAATACCTGTGAGGAAACAATCAGTTTAACCTTTGAAATAAAACCATTTTAACCTGCTAAATAATCCCCTGCCATGCAAAAAGGTGTAATCTCTAAATCTACCCAAACCAGGGAACAAATTTGATCCCATAGCTGGTTAAATCTGAGGCTGGTTTCTTTTATATTCTGCACCATTTGATAACATGTAAACGACTATATTCAATATATCACGAGCAAAATATGATTATTTGAAATATAGCACCAATTCTAATAAATTCAAGAACATATATTCGACATAAATATACATGGATTATGAGCATAAAGATGTCATTATGAAAAGAAATCTGTGAAATGTGTTATAATTATGCTAGGAATGTTTTTATTACAACATTTCATAAAATTAGAGATGAATAACGGAACCAGAACTGACAGGATTGGATTATAATAGTGCAGTCATCATTTCTGATGTCAAATATTAGGTTAATGATCCATAAATGCTTCTTTAATGATAGAAAATATACATAGATATATGCAAAATAAATAAATATATAAATAGCACCAATGACATTCAGATATCACGAATATCCTGGCAAACGTTGAGATATATGAGGATTAGACATGATAAATATAATTGCGTGCACACAAATTTAAGCATTTTAAATCAATTGTTAAAAACAAAATATATATTTAAAATAAAATGATTACCGCTGAAGACCATCGCTGCTGATGCGCCCATCACTGCGAAGAACGGCGAATATTCAGGGCTTCCCGACGACATTATTCCTCTAATTTCACCTCAAAACCCAGTAACACCGAACTTACACTGCTAGACACGAGCGAAGGCGTATATACTAACGGGTATTTGTCTATTAGGGTAAAGCTTTCGCTATGGACCAATGGTTTTAATAAACCCCGGTGAAATGATGGAAACTGCTCGTAACGGATCCTGTAGGATGAATCTGCGGTACAAAATGGCCGAAAACGTCACCTGACACACCGTGAAGAAAATCCCATCCGACTCCTGAAAGGGGGAGGAGATCGAGAAAAACAGGGATGCGCTGGTATACTGCTTCTATTCGAGTCATGGAACAAACATGACATGGATAAACATTGTAAAACAAATATAATGAAGCATTTACGTGCAATGCTAACAGTATTTCAGAGGGTATTTGATTTCGGGGCTCCCCCATTTGTAGCGAGTTTAGTGCGCTCCGCTGCGGGCTTTCCCTTTAATACTGGAGATGTTTAAACCCTTAGAATAAAACATCGTGCGTTTGTAATCTGGGTGTGAACATACTAGTTTCGTATTACTTTCATTTAAATCATTTAATCATGGTCTAAAAATCATTGCAGCACGTATATTCTACACCAGATGCACATATAACACTGTTTTCCTTCATAAATAATGTAAAATAATGGGAGAAATCGATGTGTTAAATATATTTTAAAGAGATTAGAAGGTTTTAAGCATTATGTAACTTATAATAAATTATTTCCTAGATATATTAAGAACGTGTGCACAAAAATATATCAACATGCGCCATTTATGCATAATATTAATACCGAATTGTATGTATAATACATTTATTTAATATTTTTCCATAGTGTCAGCATTTTAACATGAGGTACTGTTTGTAAGGGCGTACATGATTATACTATCACACTGCATTCGATGATATATCATTAAGAAAACTCATTTGGTCTTTCAAACGTTATCTAACGTATCTAATATAGGCCTCAGATGATCAACATCACATTATAATGTAGCTTCTTTATCATATAAGAGATATTATGTCAGCCACGCAGTAAAGTGTGATGCAGCGGATGAGGATTCCCGAGATGAAGGTCATTCTGACCAGTGACGTCAAGCGCAAGCCACGCCCACCGGCTCATGTCAGCAAGAATTTAAGAATATTCACAAAAAAATATGAATAAACATGAGATGAAGCCGGGTGGGGTGTTTATTAGATGGTTGGTTAATGCATATTTTATTCCCAGTCAGTAATGCATCAAATAAACAAAAGTGTATTTTTAATGCAAATAATTGTGAGTAATTATGCGGTGTTTATGTCAGCATGGTAGACATGGTTGTTCAGGACACACGAGGAGAGATCAATTAGTCTGGTCTCATTTAGCCAAAGGGAAAATCTGCATCATAAAGGTCAAATGACAGGCGCGCGTGTGATTGAGAATTTCTCAGAGATTTTAGTGCAGGGTATTGTTGTAAAGCTGACCTTACTGATTAATCTGAGAGCCTTTTTACTTTGTGTTCTTGGTCAACTTTTATTGTCTTCATTAATTTTCCTTCTGCTTAGTCCCTTTATTCATCAGGGGTCGCCACAGTGGAATGAACCGCCAACTTATCCAGCATGTTTTACACTGTGGATGCCCTTCCAGCCGCAACCCAGTACTGGGAAACCATAGGTTGTTTTGCGTTTCATAAAAAATGTATTATATTAAATTACAGTAATAGAACTATAGTTTTAATATGACGTTAATATTTAAGAGATGTATTAACAGGGATTTTTCTCAATTGAGTACACTGCAATAAATGCTTCTCTTACTTAGATATTTAGTGTAGTTTCTGGTCCAAATATCTAAAAATCCCTAAATCGAGCAGCATTTTCCTGACAAGGTTGGGTTTTAAGAAATAATATGTCAAAATTAAGTGAGTTTTTTCCTTACAGCATGCAAAAAAATTATGTTTTTCCATTTGACATACGATTATTTTGCTTACCCCACTGGCAGATTATTAAATCATTCAGAATTTAAATTATTTTTTAAAACAAGAAAATACTTTATGCTTGTGTAGAAAACGCTTCTCGATTTAATGATGTTTAGATATTGGCACATGAATCAATTTATGCATACACTCACCGGCCACTTTATTAGGTACACCTTACTAGTACCGGGTTGGACCCCCTTTTGCATTCAGAACTGCTTTAATCCTTTGTGGCAAGATTTAACAAGCTACTGGAAATATTCCTCAGAGATTTTGCTCCATATTAACATGATAGCATCATGCAGTTGCTGCAGATTTGTCGGCTGCACATTCATGATGCCAATCTCCCATTCAACCACATCCCAAAAGTGCTCTATTGGATTGAGCTCTGATGACTGTGGAGGCCATTTCAGTACAGTGAACTCGTTGTCATGTTCAAGAAACCAGTCTGAGATGATTTGCACTTTATAACATGGTGCGTTATCCTGCTGGAAGTAGCCATCAGGAGATGTGTACACTGTGGTCATAAAGGGATGGACATGGTCAGCAACAACATTAGGGTAGGCGTTGACACTATGCTTAATTGGTACTAATGGACCCAAAGTGTGCCAAGAAAATCTCCCCCACACCATTACACCACCACCACCAGCCTGAACCGATGATACAAGGCAGGATGGATCCATGCTTACATGTTGCTTACACCAAATTCTGACCCGACCATCTGAATGTGGCAGCAGAAATGGAGACTCATCAGAGCAGGCAACGTTTCTCCAATCTTCTATTGTCCAGTTTTGGTGAGTCTGTGTGAATTGTAGCCTCAGTTTCCTGTTCTTAGCTGACAGGAGTGGCACCCGATGTGGTCTTCTGCTGCTGTAGCCCATCCGCCTCAAGGTTGGACGTGTTGTGTGTTCAGAGATGCTCTTCTGCAGAGCTCGGTTGTAACGAGTGGTACCAGGTACCAGTCTGGCCATTCTCCTCTGTCCTCTGGCATCAACAAGGCATTTGCGCCCACAGAACTGCCGCTCACTGGATATTTCCACTTTTTATTCATTCCCTGTAAACCCTAGAGATGGTTGTGCATGAAAATCTCAGTAGATCAGCAGTTTCTGAAATACTCAGACCAGCCCGTCTGGCACAAACAACCATGCCACACTTAAAGTCATTAAAATCCCCTTTCTTCCTCATTCTGATCCTCGGTTTGAACTGCAGCAGATCGTCTTGACCATGTCTACATGCCTAAATGCAATGAGTTGCAGCCATGTGATTGGCTGATTACACATTTGCGGTAACAAGCAGTTGGACAGGTGTACCTAATAAAGTGGCCGGTGAGTGTATATACTGCACACGCATTCATTCATGCATATTATTTACCATAGAATTTAACAAATTCAGTGCAACAGACAATAACAAAGCTTATCGATACAGCAGAAACAAGCAAAACATATTGTAATGACAGCTTGCAGTTTTTTATTCTTCACTTGAAGAGCAAATGGAAAGGAGAAACAAGATCACTACATGTTTGACACTATAATTTAGGGTAATTACCCACATGTTTTTGCATGTTTCAGACTTCATACACACATACACACACAGAATGAGTTGCATAATACACAAACACACAACTTGATATGGAAAAAACATCACAATGCGCACATACATCAAACAAACACTCATTAACAACCAGTTGTTCATCAAAGCTCTACTTCAAAAGACAGGAAACATTCGTACTGCAATGCATAGAAACTGACCCCTAAATCATATTATTACTGATATTACTTCATAGATGACTTCCTAACATTACGCAAATTAAAACGAGTGCAAAGGAACGAAGGATAAATCATAAAACGTAATACTTCCCACTTAAAATAGTGCTGATTATGTCTTCATATACCGAGCTTAGAGCACTGAACGATTAACAGAAACACTGGATCATTGCAATTCAACCTGTGCATATTTAATATGTATGTTTAGATGATTAAAACATATTTCTGTATGGTTCTTCGGGATTTGGACGGAATGATATGATCAATTACATTCAATGGGGTGAATTCAAAGGGACGGTTCATGCAAAAATGAAAACGTGCAATCAAAGACGTACTGTGGGTGATCTTTCTTTTCCTTCAGTGCACATTAAACTGATAGTTCATACAAAGATTATGCATTTACAGTTTATTTAGTCTCTCCATCAGGCTATTGAGGATGTAGGTGACTCTCTTTCTTCAGCAAAACATTAAAGAGGATTTTTATCTGTGATTCGTCTAATGCAAGTCAATGGTGACCCGTTTTGAGATTAAAAATTGAAGCATGCAAACAAATCCAAATAAATCCCTGTGATAAACTGAGATAAACGCATTAAATTAAAGCAAATTACATTTAATTTCTTGCACCGATTGATCTTTCTTGCTTTATGTATCATCAGGAGCCACAGGGATAGATTTGGACTGCAGGTGTTATTTTTTTAAGCTTAACAACAGGTCACCATTGACTCACACTGTACAACTCAGAAAAAAAGTGCATTATATGATTACATTTTTTGCACAGAATCATCATTTTTGATTCATGTACAATCAGAAGCCACAGGGCTTGATTTGGACTTATTGCCTTCGTTATATTAAATCTTAATAACAGGTCACCATTGACTTGCATTATATGAATCACAAAAATTGCATTATATGATTTAATTTTTTGGCACCAACTAATACATTTTGCTTCACAAGATCTGGGTGCATCATCAGTATACACAGAGTTTGATTTGGACTTAATTGCATGTGTTAATTTTTATCTTAATAACAGGTCACCATTGACTTGCATTATACTAATCACAAAAAATTGCATTATATGATTTAATTTCTTGCACCGATTGATCAATTTTGCTTCATAAGATCTCTGTGTATGTTCAGGAGACACAAGATTTAATATAGACTTAATTGTATGTGTTAATTTTAAATCTTAATAGCAGATCACCTTTGACTTGCATTATATGAATCACAAAAAATGCATTATATGATTCAATTTCTTGCACAGATTGATCAATTTTACTTTATAAGATCTCGGTGTATCATTAGGAGCCACAGGATTTCATTTGGACTTAATTGCGTGTGTTAATTTTTATCTTGATAACAGGTCACCATTGACTTGTATTATATTAATCACAAAAATTGCATTATACGATTCAATTTCTTGCACAGATTGATCAATTTTACTTTATAAGATCTCGGTGTATCATTAGGAGCCACAGGATTTCATTTGGACTTAATTGCATGTGTTAATTTTTATCTTAATAACAGGTCACCATTGACTTGCATTATATTAATCACAAAAAATGCATTATATGATTTAATTTCTTGCACCGATTGATTAATTTTGCTTCGTAAGATCTCTGTGTATGATCAGGAGACACAAGATTTAATTTAAACTTAATTGTATGTGTTAATTTTAAATCTTAATAGCAGATCACCATTGACTTGCATTATATGAATCACAAAAAATGCATTATATGATTGAATTTCTTGCACAGATTGATTAATTTTGCTTCATGTATCATCAGAAGCCATAGGGTTTGATTTGGACTTAATTGTATGTGTTAATTTTGAATCTTAATAAAAGGTTACCATTGACTTGCATTATATGAGTCACAAAAACAACAGATTCAGCTGGAAATCTTCACTAATGTTCGACTGAAGACCATGAAAAAAAGGTCACCTACATCCTATATAGCTTGAGAGCGAGTAAATTAACTGTATTTTTATTTTTGGGGGAAGTATCTCTTTAAAAAGGATTTTTATATGAATGATATAATCAAAGATGATAAATTAGGATCTTCTAAAGTGAAAAGATAATGATTGCTTTGCTTTGAAAGACCTCAGTGTGGAGCTAATATTAATTCAGTTTTGCCTGTTTGTGTTTTTTTACTCTGACACTGTTTACACCACACACAAAAAAACGAGTTTTTATTTGTCTTTATTTTAGTCTAAATATCTAAAAAAATCTAAATCAATAAGCATTTTCTAGACAGGTTAAAAAGTAGTTGTGTTTTCAGAAATAATAGGTCAAAATTAAGTGGGATTTTCATTAAAACAAGCCAAATAATATGTCAGTAAGGCAAAATAGTCCTGTTTTTCTTTAAACTAAGTTTATTTCACTTGTTTAAGGGTGAAAACCCTACTTTATTTTTATGTATTATTTCTAAAAACAAAGTTTAAAGTTAATAATTAAGTCAAAAATTAAGTCCGATGCACTCTTAAATTGTGAAAACAATTATTTAAAAAGCCTTTATTAACATGGCTACTCCATAAAACTACACACTTGGTGCTGATTTCAGATTTGATTTCAGACTTGGAGTAGTTTTAATGGAATAGCCATGTTAATAAAGGCTTATAAAATAATTCCTTGAGTGCATTTGGACTTATAATTCTGCTGCATATCTTTAAGTCTCGCTTACCCAAAGAGCACCGACACATTAATTACCCCTGAAGCATTTTAATACTTTTCACTTGTCTGGAAAACGCTCCTTGATGTAAGTCTTTTTAGATATTTAGACTAGAAACAAGATAAAAACTTTAAGAAAATAATTGTTTGCAGTGTACTTCGTTATATTAATCACCAAAGACTACAGATTTAACCTTCGTACATGTTCTTCTGAAGAAAAAAAAACTTACTTTCACATTGGATGATCAGATTAAATGATTAAATTAACAGAAAATGTGTAATTATTTTTCAGTAAACCCTCCCTTTAAGCCTCATCAAATCAAACATGCACATTCAAACCCGTTTTGTGTCAGGTCTAAGGTCATGAATATGCACAATATGCAAATGAGATGCGCAAGTTCTTCACAAAACAGTAAACTTATAGCTACAAAAGACATGGAATGTAATCCACAAGCTTGTTTCACTTTTAATTTAACCTGTGTGTTTTGTTTGTGTACTTAAAGCAGCTTGACACACCTGATCCTTAATTTTCAGTATATGAAAGTCATGGAGGATAATGAGTTAATCATGAGATAATTATTCATTTCTGATTTGAAGAACACTGGAATGCCATTTACACACATTGAATGCCCCAGAAATGTGTGTTTAGCTTAGTTTATGACATGAGGTCTATGTTTTTATGATCCTCTTACGACAAGTCTAGAGGATAAATCAAATGTTTTTCCAATTGGCACAAAGCTGCATGCAGGAATGAAGGAAATTTGGGAGAATAAAACAAAACTTTGATCACTTTTGATATAAATATATGACATCCATATGGAAACATATATATTAAAGGGACAGTGCACCCAAAAATGAACCTTCTGTCCTTATTTACTCAGCATACACCAAACATATTAGAGCTTCTTTCTTCTTTAAAAGGCAAAAGAAGATATTTAGAAAAATGCTGGCATCCTTTGACCCCCATTTCTTTTCCGACTATGGAAGTTCCAGCATTCTTCAAAATATCTTCTTTTGTGTTCAACAGAATAAACAAACTCCAACGTTAGGCAGAGTAAACAATGAGGTGATTTTCATTTTTCTGTGTGAACTATCCCTCTGGATAACACCAACACTGGTTCTTCATCTGATATGAACAAAACACAACTAAACCTTGATATAATTTGTACTGATAAATATACACGATAAACAGTAATCTTGACTGGAGCTCGGATGGGATCTTTTAGTGCATGGTATCTCCGTTAACACCAACATGAATGGACGTTTATAAATCACAACACAGCAGATCTTACAGCCTCAGCCTTTCTTATGAACCCATGGCGTCTTTGAAGCCCCAGACCTCCAGCAGGGCCACCTGGAAACTCTCTGCACACAGCGGCGGGTTGTCAAACGTCAGACAGCGCTCGGTTCGGCCGTGGTTCAGCTCAGAGTCGATGTACAGAGCGTTTCCGTCACCTCCGCCTTCAAAAACAACAAAATACATCAAATGTGGTACTGTACATGCATGCAGTAGGACTTTTAACTGTATATTTGCCATCTCAGGTGCTTAAAGTACGCATGACATCAAAACTAAACAGTGATTTTGTTAGCTTACATTGCTAGTTTTGTGATGAATAATTAATCTGTGCATGTCATTAAGAAAAAATAAATAGTTTGCCCTTGTATTCTTTAATTGAAATATGAAAATGAACTGTTTATTTCCAGTTAGATTCTCAGATAAGGGGCCCTATCATACACCCGGCGCAGTGTGGCGCAAGACGAGGCGCAGTAGTCTTTTGGTAGTTTCAGCTTGGCGCAAGAGTCGTTTTGAGGCGTTGCGCTACGCTGTTTAAATAGCATTAGCGCTTATATGTGCGCCCATAGGCGTTCTGGTCTAAAAAGGGAGGCGTTCTGAGGCGGACCGCTGGCGCGTCGCTATTTTGAGAATCTATGATAGATTTTTCATTAGACCAAAACTAACCCGGTCTAAACTCCAGCTCGCTTACACATTGCTTAATACACACATGAGAGTAATAGGCAAATATCTTTACATATGAAAAAATGTAAATATTAAGGATATATATAGTATATAATAAGAATAGATATAGAATATAAATATAAAGGATTAAAATATTACAAAACATATTATTTTCTGGCCTACATAAATATGAAAAATCACTGCTTTTATGTCTTCTTCATCTCGGGAGGCTTTTACAGTTCATTCATAACAATTTGCTTTTGTATAATGTTATTATTATTAGCAGTATTATTTAATATATCCATATTTATATTTGTTTTATTAAAAACAAGCTTAGATTTGTCCACCTGCAGGTTTTAGACCATATGGGGCACAGCATGTGTTTTAGGATATAACTCAGGTTTTTGAACACATTTTGTTATTATTGTTCATTTATTCGTTTGCTGGAAATTAGAACTGAATTTAGAAATAGTTTTGAAACGAATATTTGCGCTTAACAAACAAAATTATTTATTTATAGACTAATTGATGTCTGTGCGTAAAGGTTTCCCTATCCATGAGCGAAAGTGAAAGTAGATCCATTATCTCTCATTCTCACGCAGTAGATGCTCTGTTTAACAGTTTTCTGTTAACTGTTTGCTTGTGAAATGCTCATTTTTTCCACTTAGACTTACTCTGCGTCCTGTAAATAGCGAATGTGCTCTTGGCGCGACGCAGCTGGCTCTTAAAGGGAATGGGAGATGAGATTCTAATTGGTTTATTCTCAAAACACACCTATAACTCATTAAGAAAATAAACTCAACCCTTTTAGAACATGCGCCACGGCGCAAGGCAGATTTCCCATCCTTAAATTAGCAAAAACGCGTTCTGACACGCCCTGAAAGCATTTGCGCCCTGCGTTTTGCGCTCTGCGCATGGACCGTCAAAATAGAGCCCAAGGTCTGTCTGATGTACTGGGTGTGGCTAACATACTTAACCACGCCCCTCCAGCTGTCAGTTTTGACAACAAACAGAAATGGTGAGGAGGAGGAGTCTGTTAGGTTGTAATCACTCTCCCCAAACCCTTTTCCAGATCTTTCTGAATGAAATGCCTACTTTACTACATTCAATCAGCTCGCAGTAGAAACAATAAGCCACGCCCACTTCTCATTTACATGGTTTCATAAAGTCAAATTTAAGACTTTTAAAAACCCTTTTAAAACCATTACGAATTAAATGTTAGACATAAACAGGGTTGAGATTTTTTTTATTAATGGCCCGGTATTATCGTGACTAATCTTTCAATTGTTTTTAGTTTTTTTTCCCTGATATTAGGGAATTTAATTTGGGCAAATTGCTGTAAAAATGTCTAACAACTGTTGTGAACTGTATCTCTTTGCAATATAAAACTTGGATATAAAAAAATAAGGTTTAGTTGAGATGTATTGTTAGTCATTGGATTGATGTCAGGGACGTGGGTTTCCTCCGGGTGCTCTGGTTTCCCACACAAGTCCAAACACATGCGCTATAGGTGAATTGGGTAAGCTAAATTGGCCGTAGTGTATGTGTGTGAATGAGAGTGTATGAGTGTTTCCCAGTACTGGGTTGCAACTGGAAGGGCATCCGCTGCGTAAAACATATGCTGGATAAGTTGGCAGTTCCTTCCACTGTGGCAACCCCTGATATATCTGGGACTAAGCCAAAGGAAAATGAATAAATGAATAAGATCTACCCCTACTCCAACCCTAACTCAAACCTTCACAGTTTTATATTATTATAAATAATAATAATAATAATAATAATAAGAAGAAGAAGAAGAAGAAAAAGAAGAAAAAGAAGAAAACGAAATTTAAAGAAAAGAAGAAAAAAAAACAAAAGTAAAAACAAGAAGAATAAGAAAAAAAATAAATATAAAAAATTAAGAAAAACTAATAAGAAAAAAAAGAAGAAAAAATAAAGGAAATAAGAAAAAAACAAGAAAAAGAAGAAAAAATAAATAAATAAGAAAAACTAAGAAAAATAAATAAGAAAAACAAAAAGAAAAAATTAAAGGAAATAAATAAAAATAAACACAAGAAGAAGAAAAAAAAAAGAAAAAAAAGAAATAAATAAGAAAAGATTAAGAAAAATAAAAATAAACACAAGAAGAAGAAGAAATACCAGACCCACCGATAATGATGGAGTCGACGTTTCCAGCCATGAACATGGACGTGTTTCTGGAGTTGAGGTTGAAGTGTCGAGCGGACAGGAACGGTGAGAGGTGAGACGAGTCAGTGGTGGGTTTCTCCAGAGTTTCTCCAGAGTGCGGCGTCCCGTTGTCCTCCACGCTGCTCTGATCCTCTGCGGACTGAGCTGATTTGGCCAGCTCTGGGTGTTTGATAATGACCCACTCGTAACGCTCCATCTCTGGCTTCATCTGAAACACAAACACAAACACACACACACACACACACACAAACACAAATCCACAAATTATTTCAGCAGATTATTGGTAAACCTTTTGCCTCATCTCCAGTTTTTTAGCTACTGATCTGTAAAACGGGTCTACACCTTAGTCGTGGACTAGAATCTGTGTTACACCTTTGTACTTATCCAGTATATCTGATGATTTCTGGCAGATCTGGAATCCTCTATAGGAGATTTTGGAGAATGTATACTGGAAGCACCTTCACAAAACCCTTCACGAAAGACTTGAATTACTGTCTGAAGGATGACTGTGTAATAGATTGCTGCATTAATGTATATAACGGCATGAGACACTGTTTTATCATTGCAAATCTTTAAATAACACACACACACACACACACACACCGATTTAAAGGATGAGTTCCGCTCGAGAATGAACATTTCCTGACTATTTACTGGGTCAGTTGGCATTTCTGTGTGGAGTTTGCATGTTCTCCCAGTGTTGCCGTGGGTTTCCTCTGAGTGCTTCCCATTGTCCAAACACATGCGCTATAGGGAAATTGGGTAAGCTAAATTGTCTATAGTGTATGTGTGTGAATGAGCGTGTGTGGGTGTTTTCCAGTAATGGGTTACAGCTGGAAGGGCATCCGCTGCGTAAAACATATGCTAGATAAGTTGAAGAAGAAAAAAGAAAATGAATGAATGTCCTGATGAAAGGTGGCGCAGTGGTTAGCACTGTCGCATCACAGCAATAAGGTCACTGGTTTGAGTCCCGGCTGGGTCAGTTGGCATTTTGTGTGGAGTTTGAATGTTCTCCCCGTGTTAGCGTGGGTTTCCTCTAGGTGTTTCTCCCTCAGTCCAAACACATGCGTTATGAATAAACTAAATTGGCTATAGTGTGTGAATGTGAGTGTGTATGGGAGTTTCCCAGTACTGTTTGCGGCTGGAAGGGCATCCGCTGTGTAAAACATATGCTGGATAAGTTGGCAGTTCATTCCGCTGTGGTGACCCCTGATAAATAAGAGACTTATAAGCCGAATAATTCATTTAGTAAATGAATGAACATTCTGATGCACAATGTTGATTTCAGGGGCACTTTAAAACAGTAAATAATTATTTATTATTAAAACTTGTAGACTGCTTTTGAAGAATATTCAGATTGTACTAGCAGTGGGTGTTTATCAGCACCAAATTCTTGAAAACTTTGTGATTTACTTTTAAACATGAACAATTTGACTTATTAATCTGTTCTACAACAATGAAAATTCTGTAACTATTCATACGTTTTTTGTTTGTTAATTCTGTACAGTAAGGCACCATTTAACATCTGTTAATTTAAAACAAGTCAATGTAATGACAACCACAAAACCATTTATTAATCATCTTAGGGCAGCGGTGGGCAAACTTTTTAGACCCGAGGGCCACATCAAGTTTTCCAAAACACGTTAAGGGCCATGTCAAATCCTTCAAAAAATAACTTTTATTTATAGTGGCAGTGTGCACGAAACATGTAATATCAGACATAAACGTGTCACATTAACACACATTTTTTAAATAGTTGTTATTGAGTCATATTTACAAGTGAAATTAATTTGCTATTTATATTTAATTATCAATCATCATTAAAAAAAAACTTAATATAATAATAATAATAATAATAATAATATATTAATTTTTACAGTGGAGATTAGAAAAGATATTGTCTAATAGAAGAAATCTCATATTAACACATCAAAAATAATTTGAATATTTGCGTAAAAAATGTAGACTTAGGTTGTAGTCTTTAAAAACAGCAACACTTTCTAGGCATATTAGGCAGCCCGCTTTCTGTCCGATATTGGTGAAGAAGTATTTTGTTGTCCATTATTCCTTAAACACGCAAAATTCAGAGTCAATTTTTCTTTTTTTGCCTGTCTGACTCTTAGTCATTAACAGTCGAGTGCATTTTAATATGCTAGAGTATGTTCTATTTCTACTGGTTGCACTAACTGTACAGCGTGAAATACTGCCATCATATGGCGTTCACTTGTATTGCATTATAAATTTACTAATTTTAAATCTAAACCGTTACTCAGAAGCAGCATTTTAAAAACTCCCTCGCCAGCCGGATGAAAGTGTTTAGCGGGCCGCATATGGCCCGTGGGCTGTAGTTTGCCCACCTCTGTCTTAGGGGATGGTAATGTTTTAGTTAAATTATTTTTTTATAAACAATAACAATGCAAAACGTTTATTCTAAACCGAAGAAAAAAAAATTGACATCTTGTATGACTAAGTAATGACCAGATCTTAGTATTTACCTGGAAGTGAACTGATCCTTTCATTACCGCCTGACTTGTGAAAACACTAATCTGCAGAGTGGTTCAGCGGTTACTCAGAGTAAAAGTGAAATCTGAACCTGTTGTGGTTAAAGCTTGGAGAGCCTAGAAACACAAACAATGTGCATTTATGCTGTTCATGGTTGTTGTTTTTGGTCTGCTAAATAAAAACACAGTGGCTCAGTGTGTAGCACGATCGCCTCACAGCAAGAAGGTCACTGGTTCAAGCCTCGGCTGGTTCAGTTGGCATTTCTATGTGGAGTTTGCATGTTCTCCCCATGTCCGAATGCTCCGGTTTCCCCCACAAGTTCAAAGACATGTGGACAATTGGGTAGGCTAAATTGTCCCGTAGTATATGTGTGTGTGTGAATGAGTGTATGGGTGTTTCCCAGTGATGGGTTGCAGCTGGAGGGGCATCCGCTGCCTAAAACATACGCTGGATAAGTCGGCGGTGCATTTCACTGTGGCAACCCCAGATGAATAAGGGAATAAGCCAAAGGAAAACGAATGAATAAAGGAATTTGTGTCCTTGTTATTTCTACACAGAAATTCTAGAACAAATTCATATTTGAAGAAATGTAACCAAGAACTCCATTAAGTCTCAAGTTCACCAAAGAGCTTTAAAATATTCCTCTGAGAGCTTTACAGAATGAAATGATGATGATGGATGAGAGTTACTTGAAGCTTATGCACTGCATTTAAGTCTAACAGCATAAAAACAGCGTCACCTAGTGGATCATTTATATAATAATCTCAGTATACTGCAAACCACAGATGTCAAGTAGATATTATACAATCCATATTATTAAATATTAACAATTAAAATAAATGTGCAATGTGACATACCCTGAAAACAAAACACTCTCCAGTGCCAAAGAAGCTCAGCTTGTTCCCGCCCCTTTTTCTCTCTTCCCAATCAGTGGACAGGAAGGCTCCGCAGACCTGTAACAAGATTGAACGAGACACATGTCAATCACAGACTAACTGAACAACCTCCCAGCTTTCTAGTTCACCTACTTACAATCCAAAACAACATGCAAAAATAGCCACAGACATATTACTCAAACTTCAACCTCTATAAAAACACATGGGAAATTCCCTAAGGATGAAATGACCTCTTCACTTGCTTCCACATAGGTAAAGCACATTTTAAAGACGTTTTAAAGAAAATAAATATCATCATTACATCGTGTTTCATCGTTACTCTTAACCTTCAATCGTTTATTTTATTCTTAGGACATGTATACACTCACGGGCCACTTTATTAGGTACACCTGTACAACTGCTTGTTAATGCACATTTGTAATCAGTCAATCACATGGCAGCAACGTGGTCATGGTCAAGACGATCTGCTGAAGTTCAAAGCGAGCATCAGAATGGGGAGGAAAGGGGATTTAAGTGACTTTGAATGTGCCATGGTTGTTGGTGCCAGACGAGCTGGTCTGAGTATTTCAGAAACTGCTGATCTACTGGGATTTTCACGCACAACCATCTCTAGGGTTTACAGAGAATGGTCTGAAAAAGAGGAAATATCTAGTGAGCAGCAGTTCTGTGGGCGCAAATGCCTTGTTGATGCCAGAGGACAGAGGAGAATGGCCAGACTGGTTCCAGCTGATAGAAAGGCAACAGTAACTCAAATAAGCACTCGTTACAACCGAGGTCTCCAGAAGAGCATCTCTGAACACACAACATGTCCAACCTTGAGGCGGATGGGCTACAGCAGCAGAAGACCACACCGGGTGCCGCTCCTGTCAGCTAAGAACAGGAAACTGAGGCTACAATTCACACAGGCTCACCAAAACTGGACAGCAGAAGATTGAAGAAACGTTGCCTGCTCTGATGAGTCTCCATTTCTGCTGCCACATTCAGATGGTCGGGTCAGAATTTGGCATCAACACCATGAAAGCATGGATCCATCCTGCCTTGTATCAGCGGTTCAGGCTTGTAGTGGTGGTGTAATGGTGTGGGGGAGATTTTCTTGGCACACTTTGGGTCCATTAGTCCCAATTGAGCATCGTGTCAACGCCACAGCCTACCCTAATATTGTTGCTGACCATGTCCATCCCTTTATGACCACAGTGTACACATCTTCTGATGGCTACTTCCAGCAGGATAACGCACCAAGTTATAGAGAGTGAATCATCTCAGACTGGTTTCTTGAAAACGACAACGAGTTCACTGTACTCAAATGGCTTCTACAGTCACCAGAGCTCAATCCAATAGAGCACCTTTGGGATGTGGTGGAACGGAAGATTGGCATCATGGATGTGCAGCCGACAAATCTGCAGCAACTGTGTGATGCTATCATGTCAATATGGAGCAAAATCTCTGAGGAATATTTTCAGTATCTTGTTGAATCGATGGCATGAAGAATTAAGGCAGTTCTGAATGCAAAAGTGGGTCTAACCTAGTATTAGTAATGTGTACCTAATAAAGTGGCCGGTGAGAGTGCATTCTACACTACCAGTGTCAATCACAACATTTTCCTGTTTTAAATTTGTAATTTCTATAGCTTCCGAGAATCCAAAAACAGCCACATATTGATAAATAAAGTTATGACAGATGTTTTAACATTAAGTTATGATTGAATCGCCTTTTGTTACAGTTATGAAGTAGTTTGATAACAAGCAGGAAATGTTCATGGGCCAATGGCATGACCACATGGAAATGGTCTATAAATCAGTGGCTTAAAAATTGTGGTAAAAAAAAACAACAATATCACTTATTGCAGTCATTTCCGTAACAAAATACTGAATATAATCGCACAACAAATATTATTCTTCCATAATCCTAGTCTACAATAAATTTAATTTCCCAAAACTGCAGCATGAAACTGAGTTTGTGTTAATAAATGTGAATGTGAAAATATGTCTGAAAAAGTCTTAAAAAATGAGTTACCTCTCTGTCTGTAGTTCTGATGAGCAACAGCGTCGGCTCATATCCCTCACAATGTGCATAAAACCTGAATGAGACATCAGAACACATGTTACTAGCTCACATTGCTAGTTTTGAGGTGAACAATTCATCTGTGCATGTCATTAAGAAAAAAAATTGCTTGCCCTTGTAATCTTCAAATTCATTCATTTTCTTGTCGGCTTAGTCCCTTTATTAATCCGGGGTCGCCACAACGGTAATAACCGCCAACTTATCCAGCAAGTTTTTACGCAGTGGATGCCCTTCCAGCCGCAACCCATCTCTGGGAAACATCCACACACACACTCATACACTACGGACAATTTAGTCTACCCAATTCACCTGTACCGCATGTGTTTGGACTGTGGGGGAAACCGGAGCACCCGGAGGAAACCCACGCGAACGCAGGGAGAACATGCAAACTCACACAGAAACACCAACTGAGCCGAGGTTCGAACCAGTGACCTTCTTGCTGTGAGGCGACAGCACTACCTACTGCGCCACTGCCTCGCCCCGTAATCTTCAAATTGAAACCTGAAAATGCAGTTCCTGATTGCTTTCGGTTAAATCCTCAGATTACTTCTGTTTTAGGTGTTGGGCGTGGCTAACATATCTAACCACGCCCCTCCAGCTGTCAGTTTGGTCAACAAACAGAAATGGTGAGCAGGAGGAGTCTGTTAGGTTGTAATGACTCTACTTAAACCTTTTTTCCTACTTTACAATATCCAATCAGCTCGCAGTAGAAAAAACAAGCCACGCCCACTGTTTTCTCATTTAAAGGAAACGCCCACTGTTTTCTTTATTTTTCTCTAGAAACGGCGAGGCAGTGGCGCAGTAGGTAGTGCTGTTGCCTCACAGCAAGAAGGTCGCTGGTTTGAACCTCGGCTCTGTTGGCGTTTCGGTGTGAAGTTTGCATGTTCTCCCTGCCTTCGCGTGGGTTTCCTCCGGGTGCTCCTGTTTCCCCCACAGTCCAAAGACATGCGGTACAGGTGAATTGGGTAGGCTAAATTGTCCGTAGTGTATGAGTGTCTGTGTGTGAATGTGTGTGTGGATGTTTTCCAGAGATGGGTTGCGGCTGGAAGGGCATCCGCTGCGTAAAAACTTGCTGGATAAGTTGGCGGTTCATTCCGCTGTGGCGACCCCGGATTAATAAAGGGACTAAGCCGACAAGAAAATGAATGAATGAAGGGCTGAAAATGGTTGCAGCTTCCAGTTCAAGCAGACGTCAAGGGTGCTTTCACACTAGCACTTTTGGTCCGCACCCGGGTTTGTTTGACATCAGAGTTCAGTACGTTCAGCTAGTGTGGAAAATATTTAGGAAACATTTGAAAAAAGGAGGGCAAATAATTTTGACTTTAACTGCTCGTGTGTGTATTTGTGCGTCATGAGTTTCAGTGACTTTTTGTGTGCATGTCGCTTGTGTGTCTTGTGTGGTGTGTGCGAGTTGTGTGTGTAATATGCGGGTGCCTGTATGTCTGTGGTTGGCCCTAAACTCTGCAATGGTCTCCCCTATCATGTGAGATCTGCTCCTTCTGTGGTCATTTTTAAATCTAGACTTTAACACTTTTGTTATTCTTTAGCTTTTACATGTGTGTCGATATAGTTTTAGTTTCATAGCTTAGATTCAATTTGTACAGACCTTTGGATTGTATTTAACAATTATATAGTTTTTAAACGTGCTTTATAAATGATAATGTGTGTGTACTTGTGTGGGTTATTTGTTGTGTGTTTGTGTGTTATGAGTTTGTGTGACTTTTTGTGTGGTGTGCGAGTTGTGTGTTCGATATGCGAGTATGTCTATGTGTGTGCCTATGTGTTTTTGTGACACATCAGGACACAAATCTGTGTAAAGACATAGGTATGACACAGGTATTACAAGAAGGTGGTAAGATATGAGGACACTGCTGACATCCACGTTTCTAAAAGCTTATAAATCCCACAGAATGAGTTTTTCTCAGAAAGTAGTTTTCTGTGAGGGTTGGGTTTAGAGGTGGGGTAGGGCGATAGAAAATACAGTTTGTACAGTATAAAAACAATGGAAAAATATGTAATGTCCCCACAATTCACAAAAACAAATGTGTGTGTGTACCGGTTGAGGCTGCAGCCGTGTGTAGATGTGGTGAAAAGCAGCTGTGGCTGACACAAAGCGAATCGCTCCGGGATCCACGACCAGATATCTCGGATCTCTTTAGCGCTGACGATCTCCGAGCTGAAATTATCTGCGTTCACGGCTAGCTGGACATTCTGCCTGGAGAGATCAAATGAGAGGATGAGCAACTAGGTTGATTTGACATTCACTGTGCATGAGTAAACCTACAACACAACAATAAACAAATGGCCAGAAATGGTTTATTCTGAAAAAGTAAAGTGTGTGAAGATGATGATGATGATGATGATGAAGACACCCACCTTTTGATAGAGCTAAAGGACAGTGCAGAAAGAGGAAAGCAGGAGAAATGGGGGGAAAAAGACAATGAAAAAAACAACAGTGATGCAAATGTGAGTAAAATTAAATTTAGGGAAGTAGGAAACATTAGGAAGATGAAAACGACAAGCAAATAAGAGGAACATTGGAAAAATATAGGCGAACACAAAATAGTCACACGCTAAACAGTAGTAAAGAGCTAAAATTGAGACTTCACAGTCAATATAATGAAGCTACGTTTTAAATATTGAAATGATCTTGAGAATTCAAAAGGGAACATACTTTGGGTAACCCTTTAATTTAAGATGACATCGTTCCACATGTTTCTTGCACTTACTATAGTAATTACAATGAATTATGCATAATTACATGTAACTAGGGCCGCACAATATATTGTTTCCAGCATTGATATTCACAATAGTCACATCGCAGGATTTGCAATGTTGAATCGTAATTATGATGTATCATTTGCATGTGTTTTTGAGGCCTGTGACTGCATGAGGATTTTAAAGCCATTCAGTTATAAGCAATTGCACCCTTTGGAAGACTATGCAGTATTATTTCACACTTGATTATTCAATTACTGTACCGGAATACTATTAGACTTCTCAGAAAAACAATAAAACAGTTTATTTCATTTGTTTCATTTATTTTATTGCATTCATTCATGCTTGTAGATTGAGATTTGAACAAAAGCAAGTGATGCATCAAAGTTTGATAATAAAAATTCTTGAAGTTATAAAACTTTATAATCACTATAATAATTTATAAAAACAATGAAAATAATTAGTTTAAAAAATACTGAACGATATTAATGATATGACGTAGTTCAGTAAACATCCTACTTCTCTGTTAATCCGTCTGACTTTACGGTCAGCTCCTTTTGACCGCCCCCTGTCGTTTTAAAGCATATCACAATGGCGAACACGTCAAGTATAAAAACCGTTTCATGGAGTGCACATGCAGGCAGCAGAAGAGCGCGATAAGGCGACAGGCGAAAGTATAAATCCAGAGTGTCTGTGCTCCACGGCTCACGACTTCAAACGCCACCACACATTCATTGCATGTCCGCATTGCCTTCTAAGAGGCAGGTCATTTATTAAATAAAGAAAAGATTCACGCAGCGTCTCCTACTGCAGTAAATTCCGTTTTTACTGTTGATATTTGGCGCCAGTTAATCAGTAAAGGCCGATTTCGTTCGCTTTGGCTCGTTGGATGGAAACGCTGCTTTATTCACACATCTTTTATCCGATATTCCAGTTTTGCACATCAATTTAATTGGCAATTTTTGATGGAAACATAGCTAAACATTAGCTAGTCTTATTAAATAAAGCAGACCTTTAATTATTATACTTGATTAATATTAAGGTTAAAATTAATGTTTAATGTTAAATATAATGGTTTAAACCAGTGGTTCTCAATCTGTGGTACGTGTACCACTAGTGGTACCCAGGCTTCCTTCTAGTGGTACACGGAGGAATGAAATATGACATGTACATGCTACATATATTTCTAAATTTATCAAAAATGATGTATATAGTATGCCATATATGACATATAGCCTATATTTATAGGTAATTTGCCACATTTTTTTAACTGTGCAGAGTTGTAGCTGCTTTACTGGGCCTACTACACTACTGTAGTTCAATACTGCTCATTTTGGTGGTACTTGGAGAGACAATTTTTTTCTGAGGTGGTACTTGATGAAAAAAATTTGAGAACCACTTGTTTAAACAATACATTTATATCTGTTATAACTAGATTTAAAAGTCCTTTATAAAACAAAGTTATTATTGACATTTTACTGATTGGATTAGAATGCATCATTTGCATGTGTTTTTGAGGCCTGTGACTGCATTAAAGCCATTCAGACATAAGCAACTGCAAGTGCGATAGTCCAGTTTTGCGCAAATTTAATTCGCATTATTTGATGGAAACATAGCTAATGCAATTAAGCATTGATGTTTAATGTTACACATAATGGTTTAAGCAATACATTTCCATTTCCTTTATAAAACAATGTTATTATTAACATTTCACTGATTCGATTTTCCATGTAACGTTCTTTTTTTTCATACTGGCTACAAATATTAACGCTAACCCGTCCCTTACCTCTTCTGCTTGACAGTGATGCCTTTCTGCTGCAGTGATTTCTCATTGGCCAGCTGCAGCAGCGTGATCTCCTTCCGGCTGAAGAGACGAATAGAAAACGCCTTTTCCAGCAGTTTATCCGGCGTCACGCTCTTCCCAATGCTCTGCACAAACGTCTGAATGTCCCTCCTGACCGCCGCCGAGTCCTGCTTGCTCGGAGCCGAGTTGGAGGCCACAAACTGCTTGCGGTAAAACTTCAAAATGGCCAAAGCGACGCGATAAAGCACCTTATAGCCCTCCACCAAAAACACATCCAGCACGCGCGCCGCAAAGCTGAACGGCAGATCTCCGAAAACCCACCGCTGCCAGTCGGAGTACACCTCCAGTACATCCGTCGCCGTGGCAACCATCAGCTTATGCGCAGCCGGGCAGTATTTATGCACGAGGTCGCCGAAGGTCATGCATGCGGATTCATACGCGAGGAACGTTTGATCTAGTAAGCGCCGGCCTGGTTCGTTGCATGCTAACATTCGGCTGACGCTCTCGAAGCATTGAGCTTCATCCGGGCTCCAGTGCATCATCAATGCGGTCACAGCAGGCAATGAGGGACAGTGTGAGATATCCGGAAACTGCCCTGCCACGCAGGAAATCACAGCATGCACTGAGCCTATAGACTCTGCTTTTAGACAGTACTGCGGCACTGCAGTCCCATCAACAAACTCCGGTAATGGATACGCAGATGGATTACGTTTGCTGGTGGAATTACCCACGATATCACGGTAAACCTCAGCGTCAGGGGTGACTGTGCGACAGGGCAGGGCTTTAAGCAGGTGTTGGTAAACGGCAGAGCGCTGGCTGTGGTTTTTCGCCCATTGGCCTGAGCGCGCATGCTGCTTCAGCTCCTTCAAGTCTTTATATTCAGTCTTACCAGGAGCTGCGTCTCGAGACACATCGCCCATCTGAGACCAGTCCACGAATACGCCGCAATCCCCAGCCATGACCTCTGACCTCACACGCTGAACGGAAGAGAGAATGAGGGGAACTAGCCGGCCATTCTGTTCTAGCTGTTGAGAGAAGAAATAGGAGAGGTGATCTTATTAATAACACCAAATCTGAATATTACAGTCATGAGATAACTCTAAATGTTAGGAATATTAAATGAAAGCACAGAGAGGTGATCATGTGTATAAAAATAATAAAAATAAATGAAATTTATGACACTGATATGGCATACAGTGCTGAGCAATGAGTTAGGGCTGCTCGATTTTGGGTAAAATCATAATCACGATTATTTTGGTCATAATTGTAATCACGATTATTTAAAACGATTACTGTTAAAGTCAAAATTATTAGCGCTCCTGAGAATTTAAAAAAAATATATATATATATATTTCCCAAATAATGTTTAACAGAGCAAGGAATTTTAACAGTATTTCCTCTAATATTTTTTCTTCTGGAGAAAGTCTCTTTTATTTTTATTTTGGCTAGAATAAAAGCAGGTTGAAATATTTTGAAACCCATTTTAAAGTCTATAATATTAGCCCCCTTAAGATATATATTTTTGATTGTCTGCAGAAGAAACTACTGTTATACAATGACCTGCCTAATTACACTAATTAAGCCTTTAAATCAGACTTTGAATCTGAATGCTTGTATTTTGACAAATATCTAGTCAAATATTATGTACTTTCATCATGGCAAAGATAAAATAAATCAATTATTAGAAATGAGTTATTAAAAATATTATGTTCAGAAAACATCTTTCCATTAAACAGAAATTGGGGGGAAAGGGTTGCTAATATTCAGGAGGGCTAATAATTCTCTCATATCTACAGTTATTTTCCACCCTGCAAAGGAAAGAGAAATAAATAAAATAAAATAAAAATATGAAACAAACTGTGCTTTAAGCATCTTTACTGTAAGAAAAACATTTTAGCAACAAAAGTCCTTCAGTCAAGAGCAGAGAGGCATGTTCTCCATTTGTTGTTTGATTAATAATCATAAAAACAGGCGGCAGAAGGATTATAGCGCGGTGTCTCTTTAATAGTTTCTCTTTCGCGTCTCTTTTGATTCTCAACACGTTTGTTTATTACACAAATGAGGGTTAATACGAATAATCACTAAACACCGCGTTTTGACTCCTATTTGACCATTAAAGCGCTCACGTTAAGATGACTTTAGATGTGTGCGCACTCCTTGTCTCAGTGTGCGAGTGAGACCGAATGCAAACTGCATGCTTCTGTTCTGTGTGTGCGCTGCACACAGAATCATGCGCTCTTTCACGCTTTTAAGAGCAACACTTGTACAACTGGAAAGGGGGCGGTAAATGATGCAATAATCGTTTATCTCGATTAATGGTTTTTCATAATCGTTAGAAGGCAAAATCGAAATCGGATTTTCGATTAATTGCACAGCCCTACAATGAGTACACCCTTCACAGATCTCTCTTAACTCATACATTTCCTTCGGCTTAGTCCCATTATTCATTTGGAGTCGCCACAGTGGAATGAATCGCCAACATATCCAGATTTACACAGCGTATGCCCTTCCACCTACAACCCAGTACTGGAAAACATCCATACTAGAGCTGCACAATTAATCGTTAAAAGATCGCGATCTCGATTCGACCCCCTAGACGATCTTAATCCGGCATTTTTTTGATTCTGCCAATCATATTTTCAAGTTCACTAGAGAAGAAAAGGCGGCAGCACGAGTCTTTTCATTGTTTCACATAATTTGTTCAGTGACATTGACACCTCCAAATGATGTTGAATGAGTCACATACTGTATTTATAAGGTATAATTCACCTAAAAATGTCATTTTTGTCTTCATATAATGATGTTTTCGCGGCCGGGAAATCACACGTGACGTGAGCTGCTGACCGTGAGCTGTTATCACAGAGAGGGCGCGCATTCTACTTAATGATGGACACGTGCGCGTCTACTTTAGTGAACAGAACCTGCATATGCTGCGAGTATCAGGTAATACAGTTGTAAATAGTATTCTGTTTGTGGCACAGAGTGATCGTTAGGGAGCAGCGCGTGAAGTATGAACAAGCGCTTAGCAGTCAAAATGAAACCGAAAGTGTGCACGTCATTTAAATGAGTTATGATTACGTTATGATTACGTCAAGCATTTTATATGTTTTTTTTTCTTTCATAGCGAACCCACAGTTGTGCATGAAAATAAATGTTTACAATCTCAGTATAACTACTCTAGCCTATATATTGTTGAATATAATCTGATAATGGCAAATGTCTGATTTTACCAGTGAATAAATGTCTAATATGACAGATTGCAAGCCTATATCTCAAACACAATAATTCAACATCAGAATTATTATAAGTAGAATAGAATTATTTATAAAAACCAGTACACATAATATTATTATCCATGTTGTGCCATATGTTTGTTTTTACCATACCTTTATTTTACATCTACAGAATCGTGAGAGAATCGTGATCTTTATTTTAAGCAAAAAAAAATCTCATTCTCATTTTAGCCAGAATCGAGCAGCTCTAATCCATACACACTCACATTCACACTCATACACTACAGCCAATTTAGTTAATCAATTCACCAAGAGCGTATGTGTTTGGACTGTGGGGGAAACCGGAGCAGCCAGAGGAAACCCACGCCAAGACGGGGAGAACATGCAAACTCCACACAGAAATGCCAATTGACTAGAACCAGCTATAAGGACACAGCGCTAACCACAGAGCCACCGTCCAACCCTCAGATTTCTCTTTAAAATTCATGTTTTTAGCAGGATGCTTTACAAAAACTAAAGGGAAACTAGCCGGCCATTCTGGTCTAGCTGAGAAAAAAAGGAGACGTGATAATATTAATGACACTAAGGGCTCTATTTTTACGGTCCATGTGCAAAGTGCAAAGCACAGGGTGTGTCAGAATCAACTATTGCTAATATAAGGATGGAAAAAAAAATCTGCTTTGCACCGTGGCGCGTGGTCTAAAAGAGGTGAGTTTATTCTCTTAATGAGTTATAGGTGTGTTTTGAGAATAAACCAATCAGAGTCTCATCTCCCATTCCCTTTAAGAGCCAGTTCCATCGCGCCATAAGCGTGTTTGCTATTTACATGACTTTGTAAGTGGAAAAACTGAACATTTCACTAGCAAGAAAACAGTTAAACAGAGTGTCTGCAGCGCGAGAATGAGAGATAAATGATTGACTTTCGCTTTTGCTCTCGTGGATAGTAGAGATGTAACGGTATCAGAATTTCACGGTACGGTAATACCTCGGTATGAATGTCACGGTACGGTATTTATTGAATCATTAACAGGAAAAAGCAAAACTTATGAAAATACTCCAAAAAAGTGCCAAAAGTGTCAATGACATACAAATTAGTCATCTATCTGTAAGCTTTGAAACAGGAACTTCAATTTTAATAATAAAAAAATATTAAACCATGTAAAAAAAATAAAGTTTCAATTTAGTAGTGTTGAAAACTCATCACATTCAACATTTAATCACTCACTCACTTAGATAGAGATGGGTTTAAAGGAAAATTATCATATAAATATAATCTGGTAAAAGCTGGTATCTCTGGGCATTTACAATGTCCCCTGCAACAGAAAAAAAACCCTCTCATTTGGGACTGAGGTTTCTGGGACAAGAGAGATATGACTTGGCCCAGGTTGACAGCAGTGGGTAACGTTCTGCATTGTCTTTCCCCCACTTGAGAGGACAAACCATGAGAAAGATAGAGATCTCATGTCTGCATCAATCTGAACAGTGTGCTGACAACACTGCTATTCAGTACGCGCGCGACAACACAGCTGATAAGAACTCGCGCGACAACACAGCTGATAAGAACTCGCGCGACAACACAGCTGATAAGAACTCGCGCGACAACACCACTATTCAGTACGCGCGCGGCGACAACAGAGTTTTCCAGCTCTTTTTCATCCCCGCTTCTAGCAGCACACTCCATTTCCGCATTACTGGATCTGTAGCGACAACAGACCGCAAGGGATGATGGTCAAGCATGGGCTGATGGGAATTGTAGTTTTCGCTACCTCCCGTTCGCTTCATTCGCCTGAGCAAATTTTCTCAGAAGACCTATAGTTTTACCGAGTCATGCGACTTCGGTAATATCGAAAAAAATTAATATTGCGGTATGACGGTATTTACAATACCGTTACATCCCTAGTGGATAGGGAAACCTTGTACACACAGACATCAATTAGCCTATACATAATTAATTTCGTTTGTTAAGCGCAAAGATTTGTTTCAAAACTATTTCTAAATTCAGTTCTAATATCCAAATACACATGCTGTGCCCCATATGGTCTGAAACCTGACAGGTGGACAAATCTAAGCCAGATGAAATAATGTCTGGTCAACTAAAATCCCAACTCTACATTGCTGATCCTTACGATGTGACTATTGTGAACTCACACATTGCGATATCGATGCTGAAATGCTATATCCCGCAGCCCTACCTTGAATTGACTTTAAAGCCTCCTTTGAGTCCGTCTGTGTATTTCTGCCTTTCTGACTCACTTCATCACAATTTCCCAATTACACTTATTAGATTTAAGCTGACAGACAGGATAAAAACACACGAATCTTCACTATCCTGGCTCCGGCTGCATCTTTTTCTCTGGATTAACCAACACTGACTCTTGCACTTTAAGGTTTTTCGTGAGGTCAGAAAGAGCTCGTCAAACATGAACAGCATGATATCATCAGGACAGAGCGAAAACACTCGATTGGATTTGCTGATTTAGGGTAATGGCATCAGTGCTCAAGGGTCAAGGGTTAAAGTTCAAGCAGCAATGATCCTATTACATCAAGGCAGGCGGACGTGCGATCTGGTGGGCTGCTGTATTTGAGAGGGTCTCTTGTGATGTCAATTGTCAAATCACAAATATGAGCTAGTATTATTATGCCAAAATGAAAATTGACCAAGCTTTAAAAGATTTAAGCCATCATTGAGTCTATTTATTGTGTAAATATATTTTCATTCAGGTTTTATAGTGCTGTCATGAACTTTAATGACAATGCTAAATAGACAATAGACTATATTAAACATAATATAAACAGATTTCTTCTATATTTTGTGATTTGTTATGTTTTTTGTTTAGAACTAAGAGTCTGAAATAAAAGAAATTATTAATATTAATAAAGCTTATATTATTTATTTACAATACAGTTTGCATGGTAATATTTTCAGTCTTTTAGTAGATACATTATATGAGAGACTTGTGAGGATGTAATTTGCACTGCAAACCTTAAATTAAAAAGAAAAAGTCAGTATATTTATTTAATGTTTTACATTTTTAGTCAATCACATCCAAAATAAGTTTGTTTTGACATATTGTGTGTGTGTGAGCTGTGTGTATTTATTATGTATATGTAAATACACACATGCATGCATATATGTTTAGATAAAAACTGTATATATATATATATATATATATATATATATATATATATAAGCAATTCCAGCGTTATGGATGTGACATTTGCTGTAAAAACTCAAAACGTTATTTCACACAGAAAGTATATGTTGACATTATATCGAAACTTCTGTTTATATTTTCCAAAACAGCTCACCACAGAGTTCTGGGAGTAGAAAAATATCAATATGTAAACATGTTTTATATTTTAAATTAGGAAAATAAACATGCGTTATGGATGTGACAAAAAAAGTTTGCGAATTTACAGTGGATAACAGATTATTTAGAAATTCTGACAGTTAAACTGCACAATCCAAAAGACACAATGCTCATCAAACAGGTATGAGTTGGCTCACTATCGAATTAAAATGATTGATTTCATTTTATTTGACATTTTTGCATTTATGAAGAAAAAGTGTCGTTATGGATGTGACACATTTCCGTTATGGATGTGACAGCTGTGAAATTGCCACTTGTGTGATTTTGGCAAATTAAATATAATAGTTTGAAATACAGACAGATACATTTACGAGTTCTTTTAAAGTACTGTAAAAAACTTGCTAACACAAAAAATGTAGAAACGATTTCTCTATTTTGGTGAAAACTAAATTATTTTTTATGGCAAGGTTGACATTTGCATGGAATTGCCCATATATATATATATATATATATATATATATATATATATATAAACTGCACGGACGGACTTAAAATACTGATGATAATAACAAAAATAAAGTAACAAGAGCTTAAAGTGCAAAAAAACTGGGAAACTGAGACTGAGATATGAGATTATGCTTTGCATCATTTATTTAAAAGTACTATGTCAAATAAAGTGTTTTCTTCTAAACAATAACAAGTGCTTAAAGTGCTTAAATAACAAGTCCTATAAAATGCTTAAGAACTGAACTGCTAAAGTGAAGATTAGAAGCGAAATTTACACCATTATCACTTATTTTTTTATTTTTAAGTCCTGCAAACTCTTTTTGAAAGGCATTTAGATCAGAAGATGGAGCTGGTCCAGTGGAGGAGGCCAAGGGTCTGCTGTTTGTTCAATCATGTTTTTTTCCTCTGTCAAATAAAAATATCATGCTTCCTCAAATTCATTGCTCAACAGGACATATGCATTCAATTAATGCTCCAATGTTATCATTATTTCACAAAGCCTCAACATTTTTAATAAAAATAATTTGAAAAATGGTGGAAACGTGAAGCTATTGACATCCATAGTCTGAAAAAATGTTCAATATAGGTCAATAGTTACCGGTTTGCAACATTTTTCAAAATATCTTCTTTTGTGTTCAACATAAAAAAACTCAAGTGAAGTTTGCATCATGTAAAGAGTGAGTAAATGCTGATTTTTTAAAGCCGAATAACAAAAATAACATAATTAATGTACCATAGTAATACTATTACATACGTTTACATTTAAGATATTGAATTAAATATCTGTTCTACTTTTAAGCCATGTAAAAACTATGGTAAAAACCTTACCGAAGCATCTCATCACCTTAATATAAGCATTGAAGCAATACATGAAGTATTAACACAAATCCAGACACAAACTGTATCCAACACCATTGCACTAAATGCAAAACATAACTGTTTTACTGTAGTAATTATAGTAGATGATTTACGTCAGCAGCCTGTCAGCCAATCAGCAATCGAGAGAACCGCCTCACGCGCGCGCCGTCAAGTCCACCTGGCACGCGCTCTATCGGCTTTAATGCCTTTAAAGTGCTCAAAATGCGAGCTGTATTTCGCATGTCAACAGTCAGCGGAAAAATATCAACATTATAACAAACACACGCATTTCCTTAGCCCAGATCTGAAAATGCAGGCTAAACAAAACAGCCAGATGACGTTACAGATACTCACGCATAAATATGCAAAAACACAGCCAATGCATGCAGCTGAGTGACGTAAACGTTTAGTTAGATATATCTTTAATACACGTCGATATGCAAATGAAAACGCGACGCCTCAGATTAAGCTAATGTGAATAGCTCGTGCAGCTAATGTGCAGGCAGTGCAAAGGCACTCGATAAACTATAAACACCGGTGTCAGTGCATTTAAACGCCGTTAATGCAGCTTTTCTAGCGTAGGAATCGCAAATTGAGGCGTGAAATTGAGAAAATGCTATGACTGAGGTACTAAATTGAGCCAAACGTCTTACCTGATTTGCTTTCGACTGTCTGTCAGGCAGCGGGCATATTTGTGATTGAATGCGCATGCGCAGTGAGAGCTGCCGTAACGGCGGACTCTGGGTCAGGATAACAACTGAAGCGTTAGCCTATATAGTTTTATGATAAATAGCGAGATATATGTTGTTATGTTTGAGTTATTCTATCTCTATATGTGTACTTATTATCTTATACATATGTTTGTAATATATGTCCATCCTAAATTATAGAACTTTAGCTTTATGCTGTCTGTTTTAAATAATATCTGTATTGTTTTGCTCAGAAATGTCATATCACATACAGATTGTCGCACTTTTGTTGGTTCTATTGCTTATATTGTACTCTTTGTAAGTCTTGTATATAATAAAAAATATGTAGAACAATGCTAAACGATTAAATGTATGTGTTATAGTATAACTTTATGTTAAATAGAGATATTTTAGCAGTATATGTTGTTATGTTTGAGTTCTTCTATCTCTATTCATGTACCTGTAATCTGAATGTACATTTCTAATCAAAATTAAACAACTTTAGCTTTATGCTGTGTCTGTTTTAAATATTATCTGTATTGTTTTGCTCAGAAATATCATATCACATACAGATTTTTGCTCTTTTGTTGGTGTTATTGCTTATATCGTCTTTTTTGTAAGTCATTTTATATATTAAAAATATGTAGACCCATGCTAAACGATTAAATGTATGTGTTATAGTAATGCTGTATGTTAAATAGAGATACTTTAGCAATATATGTTGTTATGTTTGGGTTATTCTATCTCTATATATGTGCCTATGGTCTGAATGTACATTTCTTTTACAACTTTAGCTTTATACTTTGTCTGTTATAAATAATATCTGTATTTTTTTGCTCAGAAATATCCAGATTGTTGCACTTTTGGTGGTTTTATTGCTTAAATCGTCCTCTTTATAAGTCACCTTATATTTAAAAACAATGTGTAGGCCTATGATTCACAACTAAATGTATATGTTATATAGTTTTATGTTAAGTAGAAAATACATTTATGTTTATATTAGATCTGTTTATATATGCACCTATAATCTGGCTTGCACCACTGTACACACGAATACTATTTCTATTCAAATATATATGCATGCTATTTATAATTGTTTTAAAATTATATTCTCATTGTTATTATCAATATATTATCATTGTTGCTCTTATATTGTCCTCATAATACACTTTAAATTAAAAAATAAAAAGTGTAGGCTTATGCTAAGCTAATGATTAAATGTGTGTATGCATTTTAGCTTTATCCTATTCCTATTTGTTTTAAAATCTCTATTTTTCCACACATAATCACCGTTATATTTTTGTTAGTTTGATTACTTCTATTGTCCTCTTTGTTAAGTTATTTTAAACTAAAAAGCAAACGCTGTAGGCCTATGCTAAACGATTAAATATGTGTATGAACTTTAGCTTCAGGCTATTTCTATTTGTTTTAAAGTCTGTATTTTTCACACATTGTACTTCTGTTGGTTTGTTTGCGCTATTGTTCACTTTGTAAGTCCCTTTCGATAAAATAAAAGCTGTATTCCTATGCTAAAGGATTAAATATAAGCCTATATATATGGACATTAGCTTTATGCTATTTCTATATGTTTTAAAGTCTGTATAGCCTATTTAAAATGTTGTACTTTTATTGGTTTGATTGCATCTATTGTGCTCTTTTGTACATTACTAAGTCACTTATGTATGTAAATGTAGATGTCTATGCTAATTGCTTATGTTTATGTATAGCCTACATGTAAACATCTTACTCTTCTGCTTTCTCCAGAGAAAAGGGAAAGCGCAGGGAAAGGTCGTCTTGTATCACCTGACATGTTTACAGTTTTATAACCACCATTTCTGAGCAGAAGATTGAGCTGCTGGTATTAAGACAACGCCCAGCTTTGTGCACAGCATCCGCCGTCCACATGACACTCATTACTATAACTCAATCAAGACTGCAGGAGCTTTTTTCTTTCCTAAAGTTCACAAACTCCTAAAATCAA